AGAATTCGTCCACTCCATCCTCTATGGAGTCCATTAGCCCAATATTCAACTATCACACAATTGACAGTTCTAGTCCCCTTTATTTAATTAATGTCTTTTAGCCACAAAAATTAATTATCAAATAATTCTTGACTAATATTAATTAAACAATATGATTTCTCCTTTAATATATTATTCTTATAATATATTAATAAATCATAATTAATCTCATCTCTCCTTAATTCTTCCTACAAGTTTGTATGGTGAAGGCAACCCAAAAGGACCATGCTCATAATCGGGTCAAGTACATACCAAAATAGTTATGGACTTAGACACTAATCCAACATTTTGGTAGTTATGCTTCTCCTTCCAAATATGCTGTGCAACCCTATTGAACCATAAAATCCCTCATCTTCACCTTCCACATAGTGAAATTGTCTGGACTATATGAGGTTATTGTTGAAACAGTCTGAAGTTATGAATATTATTTCCGAAGTGAAGGTTTGTGCTTTGAATTTGAAGTAGTTCGTAGAGCATATTATGTTCCTTCGTATTTATTTATAGCGTAGGCATATCTTAGTGCTCATAACATGGTGTGTATGTTAGTGTGATTGGGTAGATGTATTTATCATGCATGTATAACTTAAGCATCTATGTATGATTGGTCAAGTGATTTTGTATCTCTATATAGGTGTATATCTTTGAGATACAATACCATTCTTTATAAGTTTTTTTATTTTGTTGAATACTTAAGCTATTTTCTTGTACCCTATTTCATTGATCAATCAAAGAGCTAAAACATAAATTTACATAAAGTTAGATCATACTTTTTTGCAGTATTAGTGGCAACATCCAATGCGTCCAATTGGATGTCACTTCTCTCTGTGTGTATGCGTCTGTGTATGTGTGTGTGAGAAAGAGAGGGAGGGAAGGAGTGTCACAACTAGCATTTTAGGGCTAGAAATTTCTATCCATGGACAAATAGTTTATTTGTGTAACTAAGTGACACTACGTATGGTATAAGCCAAATTTCAATGTTATACAAGTTTATACATCCAAAATTGTAATTCAAGTCGAAACTTCCTCGTTTAATCCCCAAACCTAACCTAATAAGCTATGATCACTCAAATTTGGACCTTAGCCCAAGCTTCTCGGTCCAAGTCTCTATTTGGGCCAAGACTCTCCTATTGGGCCTTAATGGGCCAAGAAACCCTCAACATGATCCTTATGGACTGTAAGACTCTTATTGGGTCGTGAACATCTTCCTTAGACCATAGTGGGTGAAATACCTCCATTAGGTATTATGTTGGGCCGAAAACCCTCTAATTGGGCTTCGTAAGGCCGGAAATCACTATTGGGCCCCTATTGGGCCGAAAACTTTTCCAATTAACCTTATTGGGTCGAAAACACATATATGGGCCCTAATGGATCAAAAATCTTTATTGGGCTCTCTCTCGCCTAAACCAAAAACTCAAAAACACTAATGGGCCTAGGGGTTCTCGGTTATCCTTCAAAACCAAGCCCCAAATTTCTTTCTTTCTCCCCCCCCCCCCCCCCATAATTGATTAGATTTTTAATAAAAAAAAAACAAATGAAAGGGGGGTTGACTTATGGGGTGCCACTTCCATATTATACATCATATATCTATGTGAATACACCTCATACATCTCGGCACACATGTATTAACCAACAAGCATTACACACTAATCTCCCCCCCCCCTTCTCCCTCTTAATCGGCCGAAGGCCATCCTCCCACCCCACAAATCATTTCAAACTCCTACTCACTTCTTATTTCCTCTCAAAACTTCAATTTTCCTCTCATCCATCCCTCTAAAAATCGTGAGTTTGTATGTGTTATTCAAGAAGGTTTTCTTCAAGCTACACAAACTAGGTAAGTTTTGTAAACTATATTACTTTATTCCAAGATTTCACTAAAAATCCATCCTCAAATCACTTCATTTTTGTGATTATGCTCTTAGAACACCAAAACTTCACAAATCTACTCAAGGAAGCAAGCTAGGGCCGAAAACCTTCTTCCTCTTCATCTTTAAAACCGAAAAAGGCCCAGTAAGCTTCATACCCCACTATTTTTCATGTTTTCGTACTCTTTAGGGGGATACAAATCAAAGTTTCGGTTAACCATTGGATAATTGCATGGACCATTGTGTTGTGTGTTTAACTTTTGGGTTTTTACTTGAACATGAAGTTTATCACATAGATCTTCATAAAAATCATAAGATAAGTGTTGTTAACATATATATTTCTTGAAAACTATAAATATGGGGTTATACACTCCAAAAGTAGCAAAAGTGAGTCTTGTGTGCAAACATGTATAACATAAACTTAATCCCCAGCCTTCCATAGAAAAGTTATAGTCCATTTACGGACTGTTTTGACCACCTTGAATGTAATATTTTTCAAAACTGTTTTACATGCAAATAGTTCAGGTTTATACCGTTCTAATTACTACTCTCACGCGTTCATATGATTTTTATACAACTTTTGGTGATTTTTACAAAACTGCCTATCATTTCCAGAATAAATTCAGACCAACCTGTGAAGATAAACATTTTCACACTAGTTCGTGGCTGTTAAAAACTATGAGAAAATTTGTGAACAAAGTAGACTCAATTTCCAAACTCCCAGAGTTTATGGATCCAAATTTCGACTTATGATGATTTTTCTATAATTTTTCTAAAAATAAGGACAAAAAAGTCAAAAACCATAAAATTGTTTTAACATACTAAAAGTGCTTATACTTGTGTTTAGATGTAAGTTTAAAGGTTGTAACCTTTTGAAAACACCCAGACATGATAACTTGCATGTGCTTATATACTTGATTATATAAATATTTTCAATTACACTAGATAGACTCAAGTCATTTTACAAGAAAGAGAAGTCATAGTTTACGTAAATCTGTTAAGGCTCTTGTGAGACTCTCCTTTAGTCGTACCTACCTAGCGTATGCGATAAGTCCTGTTAGTTATAACTAGAGTCTCCTGGAGGGAGAGCAAGGCAATTGTGTATAGATCTATACGGGGTTGACACCCCCACACATGAGTTGTTCGCTACAGCTAGACTAGGCCAGTCTAGGGTGACAAGTATCTTAAAGTAACCAACACTGAAAAACGTCAAGTCAGGCACTCTCGTCATTAGTATGGTTATAGGCTTATAGCGACTCACATAGAGATTAACAACACTATTTTGGTTTACGGGAAGCTTTACTTGTTAGTTTTATTAAAATAAATGAAAATATATACTAATGTCTGTACACTACTCATTTTCATCATGGTCTTAGGGTTTAAGACTACAGTTCTTTATTAAGAAAATATTGGATTTTTTGGATACATTCATTATTACTCTACATGGAAAAGACACATAGAGAATAACAACATTATTTGAATTTATGAAGAATTTACACTCTACTAGCTCTTACAAAACACCAAACTATGTTCGTATACTTTGTAAACTGATTTCATCACTCGGGTCTTAGGGTTTTAAGACCACAACACTTTTATATACAGAAAATATAAGATTTTCTAGGGATACATTTTTTCAAATACAAACAAAGGATAATAAAGGACCTGCATGCAATTATACACGGTTTTGAAACGAGACTCAAAAACTACTTTTTATAGAAATATTGGATTTTCTGGAGTTTTACAATTTATTATAAGAGACAATATTACAAAGTTTTTCCTACAAACATGCTTATGAACTCACCAACATTCTATGTTGACGCTTTTCAAAACGACTTGTATTCAGGGACTTAGTGAACAGGTACTCGAACATTGGATCTGGATTATTTTATTACCTTTCGAGCAATCATCCTTTATGTTATTTTTGTATAATTGATAAACAAGTACAATTTGTAAAACAATGAATGTTGATATATTGTAATGTATGATGTTTGGTTGCTATCTATCATTCATATTCAATTGTTACGATACTGTACATGAAGTCATCTGTCCCCGAACATTTCCGCCGTCCCGATTCGGGGGTGTGATAGGGGGAGAGAGAGAGAGAGAGAGAGAGAGAGAGATGACTTGGTTATTTCAGTTGGATTTTAAATAAAACACAAAATGAACCGAAAAAAATATCATTTTTTAAAAGACAAAAGAACTAACTCATTTCTTGCTAAATTATGTAGTGACAACCACCAAAATGTCACTATTCTCTTTTATCCCTTGCTAATTTTCGACGTTTTAGCACACTATCTCGTTGCTAAATTGGAAAACAAGCTCATTCGTTGCAAATTTGTATCATAAATTAGCGATATACGATTTTATTTGTGAATTGAACCTTTTTTTCTCTAGTTTCTTGCTAGATCCTCATTTTTTATTTTCATTTCAGCCGTTCTAAAAAACAAAATTTATTAAATTTTTAAAGATTATTAAAACTAGAGTTATATTAATAAATATTACATTTCACGTTTATAAATTAAAAAAAGTACCCACTTAAAATTTATAAATACATATTACGTTAGAAAGAAACTAAGAAAACCTTCCTATGTCTTTAGATAGTAATAACTAATTACCGATGAAATTTTATAAACATTCTAAGAAATTAAGAATACGTGCTTGGTGTTCTTTCATTCCATTACGAATGTTGTATACAAACTTCACGTTTGTGATATTTCTCTCATGGCTTAGGAGGTGAAAGAAAAAAGGATAAAGGCAACTATAAATGGGAGAATTACAAATGCTCACCACCACTCCACGTACCCTTTGCCCAAAAGGATCATTCGATTGAAAACATCAACTACAAATACACACGATTAATATTAAAAACTTGATTACTCTTAACAATAGACCCTTTCATCTCTTTATAATGGGGTGAATGTTTCCATTTACAACCGTTCATAATCAATCAGTCAAAATACTTGGCATAATATATAACATCTCTATATATCCATTGACCTTGTTCTAAGTTTCTTTATTATTTGTAGAATGATACTTTCAGTTTATAAGTCAGTTCAGTTTTGTTTCTATGTTTCTCTTTGTTTATTTTTCAGTAATGCAATGGTAAACATACCAAAACATGACTCGGTAGAAGCAGTCTGGGCATTCGGTGATTCCTTCTTTGATAGCGGGAACAATAACTTTCTAAATACATTGATCAAAGCTAACTTCCCCCCATATGGAAAGGATTTTATGGGAGGAGTATCATCAGGAAGATTCACCAATGATAGAACTATTAGCGACTACATAGGTAATTAATATAGAACGAAAGAGTTCAACCTCAAGAATCTTATCATCAGATTATTATTATCATTATTATATATCTACACATGTTGTACATTCGAATCATTTCCTTTACTAAAAATTTGCTATCTTTTGATGCTAAATTTATAGTTAAGAAACTAGGAGTGAAGGACTACCTTCCAGCATATTTAGACCCTTACATACGAGAAAAAGATCTTCCTACGGGTGTATGTTTTGCTTCTGCTGGCTCTGGGTATGATGGCGTAACCTCCCAAATACAAGTATGCATGCATGCCGATATATAATTCCTCATGTCTGCCTTTTTATTTATTAATAGTCGAACTAAATAACATTCATGTATGTTTGTGTGTATTTTGTTCATTTTTTATGGGCGTATGACATTTAGAATGTCATGCCATTATCGATTCAACTGGAGATGTTCAAAGATTACATTTTGAAGCTTAATAGAATTGTTGGAGAAGAAGCAGCAAAGCATATAATCAAGAATGGTGTGTATTTGGTATCATCAAGCTCCAATGATTGGAGTATAAGTTATGGCCTTGTTCCAGTTAGAAGATTGCAGTATAATGCGACTGATTATGCTAATTTGTTGGCAAACAATGCTAGAATGTTTTTTGAGGTAATCCCATGCGTATAATTATCTTAGTTTAGTTTGTAGAACATGCTCAAATATGATTACTAGTTTTTCCTTTAATTTAGGGTTTAAAATTTTGCATCAGCTAATTAGCTTGCTAGAAAATATATTGAAAGATTTCATCGCTTTCTATAAAGAATTTGACAAAGTTGTACATACTATAATCATAGTATGTTAATTTCTCATTTCAAAAAACATAAGATCGTCCGTAATGCATAGTTTAATGGAATGATTAAATAAAGTAGAATATTTAGTTTACATTAAACGAATTAAACTCAACCATAATAGGATGACATATTGGTGTTTGATGAATATATATAAATAAACAAATTTTATTGTTAAATGAATAACAAGCAAATGATTTTATTCTTTAAATAGTATCACTAGAGTGTAGCAAAAAAAAGTGGCAAAGTTTATGGAAAATGAAATGATGGAAATCTATTCAATTATGTTGAGTTCAATTCATTATAAACAGATTTTACCTATAGAAATAATAATTCTGTTGTTATATCTTTTAATTTATATGTGAATATTTCCAAAAATTTGTTTAAGGAATTATACAAATTGGGAGCAAGGAAGTTAATTGTCTTCGGTACACCCTATATTGGTTGTTTTCCACTAATGAGAAATGTATTTGGAGGAATACGTAGAAATTGTGTCAACATGTTCAATGAAGATGCAGAAACATTCAACAAAATGCTAAAAAGTCAGCTCGAATATCTTCGAAGCAGTCTACCACATTCCACGATTTGCTATGTTGATTACTTCAATCTCTCACGAGAAATCATTCAAAACCATCTCCAATATGGTATTATGCACTAGATTCCACCTTGTAGTACAATACCGAAATAATTGGTTATGATACTTCTAAAATTCATATTTCTCAAAATTTTATTGGGATTTGTCTCTAATGAAGAGGTAACTAATTAACCAACAATAACATCTTAGTTTATATTCTTCTACGGGTTGACATTTATTCTCAATAGCTAAGAACTAAAAGTTCTCAAAAGCTATATGAAGTAATTTTTAGATTGAAAACTTTTTTTGCATAAAATAATAGCAAGTTTTTTCTTAAAAGCTAAAAGTTCTTAAAAGCTCACTCACATCCATAGAGTTTCGCCATAATCATAATCTTCGTATATTGTTTTGGTTTTAAATTTATGACACAAAGTTAAGGAAGATGATGCCTATTAACATTTTCATCTGTTTTTTTTTTCTTTTTCTTTTCTCAGGCTTCGAAGATGTAGACAATGCTTGTTGTGGAACAGGGTTGTATGAGACATCGTATCTTTGTAACAGACTCAGCCCAATATGTCCCAATGACTCAAAATTCTTATTCTGGGATAGTCTCCACTTAACAGACAAAGGCTACAAAATCATTGTAGATCATGCTCTCCCACAATTGATGCAATGTTTGCACTAAATTCATGAACCCTATATTGTGTTGCGTATACCAATCCTTAATTCTTAAAAAACATAACTATTCAACTTTTAAGTAATAAACGTGAACTATTTTGCTTTCTAAAGGAATAAACCATGTCTATTCAGTAGTTCAACTTTTGCAACATGAAGCAATTTTATTATAAAATCACCAATGGTTCTAAAGGAAACACCTTTAAATTCCGATAGTATCTCAACTAATATATATATATATATATATATATATATATATATATATATATATAGAGAGAGAGAGAGAGAGAGAGAGCTAGGTTCAAATGTTTCTAGCAACTACTGTGTGCCTAAATGCAGCAATGAGAATTCAAGAAATAATAAATAACTAAATAAATCATTAAAGGGTATTTTAGACTTTTTGTACTTTTAATTAAGGAAATAATTTAATTGGAATCCTATAATTAAGGAAATAATAGAATATCACGTATTTGATCCCTTAAATCATGGTTCCTTCATCTTGATAACCCTAATTCTATATGAGAGTATTCATCAAACTCCAATACAATTATCTTCTTCACCCACCATAGCCGAAATGTACAACCACGAGATAGTTACCTTCTCAACTATCGTCTTCACCAACTATCCTTCACCACCCGTTTATGTTTCCTGCTCACCCTCGTTGAGAATAAGGTGCTCCATCAATTCATAGTGGACAAGAGGCTGTCGAACTCCCTGCAAATTGAAGCTAAAAATTAGGGCTTTTTTGTTTTTCATTCATCTGTATACCATGTTCCCGCATCCTCCATCGAAGCATTTTTTTTAAAAGAGGATGGCATACGAGTACTTATCTGCTTCCAAGATTCAATTTGGAGATAGTCGGCTTCCAGGTATGCACTCTATTATCTGTTTTGTCTCCTCAGTCCTATCTCATCTCTCGCTCCCTTTCCATTTCCATTTTTTGAAACACAATCCAAGAAACAGAGCCACCATGGAAAACAATGCTGACATATGCTTTCAAGAACTGATTTTCACTTTTCTTATGATTAGTGAAAATGATGATTTATTTGATTCCATAAACATGATGATTTATTTGATTTCTTTGAAGTAATTTCATACTCTTGATAATACAAATTACTTGTTAGTATTTGAAGGTATACACTCTTTTATTGTAAATTTAGTCACATTCATGTGTTTATTAATTACACATGTTGTATGTTTCATCAAATGGAGTATAAAGATTTGTGCATCTGATTTGCCCACCAAATGTTTGTTAAAATGTTTGAATCAAATATTTCAGCCAATTTTTTTTGTAATATTTAAACTATCATATCTCTCTTATACTAGCTTGGAATGACATGAAATTTGTTTATGCATATTCTCCTTTGTGTTAGCTACAAGTTAGGTTCAGAAGTCATTTAAATTTGATTAATATTGGTTGAGTTATAGTCCTTCGAACATGCGATGTTACAGCTGTATTTTTAGCACTCTTTGTTCAGAAACATTTGTGATCTTTGAACTGTCATATTTACCACATTCTAGCTTGTAATAAGCTGACATTTTTCCAAAGTACTGTCCTTTGTGTTAGCTATAATGTAGTCATTGTAATTAGATTAAGTCGATAATTTGGATCAGGTGACTCGGGGAATACTTGATCAGGTGACTCGAGTAATTCTGTTAGAATAAATTAAAAGTCTTTAATGTCTAAGATATTCTGTTAGAATTATAGCTTTATTCTGTTAGAATATACTGAAAGTTATACTATTTTAAAGTTGATTATGTTTTTTTTATTATTATTATTTAGGTTTTGAAGGGGCTGCCATTGATGTGGAAAATGAAGAAAACATGGAAAACGAGAGTATTCTAGCAGAATGTTATTATTTTTTAGAATGTTATTCATTTTTGTTGATATTCTTTTAGAATATTTATAACTATATTAAAATGTATAAGACTTTTAATCTGTAAGAATATATATGAATTTGTATTTAAGTTTGTATGTATAAGAATATATTAGAATATTTGTTATTTTTCAACATCTGATTCAAGAATTTTGTTTTTCTTCAATAATATTCTATTAGAATAAAATTCTGAAAGAGCATCATTCTAACAAAAAATATTCTGACAGAATAAAATCGGAAAAAATTGAAAATGAATTAATTAAAAAAATCAGATTTTTTTAAATTAGGAGAATTAATCATCCCTAAAAATCCGAAAATTTCCTTTTATAAATGTAGTGAATTGTCCAAAATAACCTTTTGCTAAAAATTGTGTGATTATATGGTAGATGTTACCCCATTGTAATATCGTACACTCTCAAATCACGTCCATTGATTAATTTCATCCGTTGGTCCAGATCTGTGCATTCTGGCACACAATACTTAGTAAAAACAAAATAACTTAAGCCTATATATATAGTAACCGTTTACCTGTGCCAAGCGACGGGTGCGAATTCAATTGTTCACCAAACTTCACTGATACTTTTGTAGTGGTACAAGATATTCCACTGGATAATGTTACATAAAATTGGTCATGAGAAAAAATCGATTATGGGAGATAAATACTTATATTTATAATTGTTTGTCACTGAGCTTTATGCAACAGGTGTGGAATCTATCTGGGGGCAGTGAATACTTTATGTTCAGCTAATATGTCATTTCGGAAGATAGTTTCTCTTTGGTGGGCATTAGATAGTTTTCTTTGAAATATTAACTATTTTCGAAAAATAATTTTGTTTTAGAAATATGTCATATAATAAAAAAGATGTAATGTTTAACTGAATGGTTTCTTCATGTATAGTGTTTCATGTTTCATATTTGTTTAAGGTTTTGGATTTAAAGTTTAGATATTTTTTTTACTACAAGAAAGAATATGCAAATAATTATTGTAAAACATAATTTGCTTCTCTTTTTAATAGCATCGTAATTTTTTTAATAACTTATATTATATCTTGTTTTTTTTGGTTATTGATGATTTTGGTCTGGAGGTTGTCTAACTGAACAACCTGTCACACCCTCAAACCGGAACGAAGGAAACGTTCAGGGGCGGATGACTTCATGTGGTAACGTAACAAATGAATACATAGTAAAGAAAGCAATACAACCATCATATATATAATTGAAAGTTTACATTGTTTAAAAGTGTACATGTTCAAAATCAATTACATTATGATGTCAAAATATGAAATTAAACTGGCGCCGCAGCATCCCTTCTCCAAAATCTGTTTGTTACCTGTAATTACTGAATCCCTGTGACATACAAGTAGTTTTGAAAGAGTAGATCAGCATTTAAGCTGGTGAGTTTCATAAGTATTTAATTATAATGTTTGTATGAAATGAAATGTTGTTCTTTGTTTGCATGTTCGTAGAAAATCCTATATTTTCTACTAGTATATATGTAGCCTTCTTTCAGGACAAGTGCTTGTTTTTAGTAAATGTATGTACGTATAAAAATTCCAATATGTCTGAAAAACCCCGTAAATCATTGTGTTTTTAATACTCCATGTGAGTTTTATAACCATGCTATTGACAAGGAATGCCTATACACAACGTTCTTCAGGCGTTGGAATGTTCTGACGTTTGTCACCCCAAATGGTGGACTGTAGCTAACAGTCAGGGCGCGGGTTGTCAAGCCCGTATAGATCTATACACAAACACCATGCTCCCCTTCCAAGGGATTCTGGTATATAATACAGGACTTGAAATGTGTACTCGAACGTACGTGAAGTTAATGTCTCACAAACTTAGTATAAAACAGATTTACGTGTAAAAACATTCGTTCGTTATTGTATATGAAAGTAGCTTCTTGAAATAGTATTTCCATGTATGTAAAAGTTCGTAGTATTCTCGTAAAACTATACCTATTATAGTTTCCTAAAAGTGTGTTTCGTTTGTATAATAAACCCTTAGTGAAAATGTTCACTTGTTATGAAAAGTGTAGTTTTTGTAGTGCCAAAACCGACACACAGAAATGTAGTATAAGCAAGTATCTGATTTATATAAATACATAAATCGTTTCTCATTTCAAAAGATAAAATGTTGTCGTGGTATAATTTGCATATGAAAGTTTCCTTATAATAGTTTTAAATCACGTGTGATTCCTTTGATAAAACACGTATAGTGAAAGTTTACATAACACACGATAATAATCGAGTGTTTTACTTGTATTCCCCCCCCCCCTAAAAGCATGTAAAAGTACTCATAAAACATTTAAAAGTGTGAATTATAGGGGTATGAACTCACTTGTAAGATTGGAGGTTGCGGGATGAAAACCGGATAGAATTTCGGCTCGCGAAAGTGGATTTCCTCGGGATTCTCGGGAATCTCGGGGGCACAAACGACCTTCGGGACTCGAGCAAAGTGATTGGGGCTTCGGGGTAGTGCGGGCACGGAAAACGAGGCAAGATCGTGAGAGAAATGAGAGAAACGGGGTGTTTTTCCCGGAACCCTCGCATCTCTATTTATAGGGGGCTGAGAGGCCTCGGTACGCGGGGCGTACGAGCGTACGCGGGGCATACTCGTGCGTCATGCGTGACCGAGTCCTTGACTGCCTCGGCTTTGGATGGGACGGGTCAGGGTAGCTCGTATAGGGGCGATGTGGACGAACCGAGGCCAAGGCCTCGCGTACGCTGGGCGTACGGGGTTACGCGGGGCGTAACTCGGCCCTATCTGGTGACTCCCCTTCGGATAATACCAAGAATTTTTAAATAAATTTATATATAAATTATTTAATAAACTTCAAAAATTCGTATCTTCTTCATACGAACTCCGTTTTCGACGTTCTTTATATCCCCGCGAAGGTGAGACCATACTCTACAACTTTCTTTTAGATTTCATCGGCAAATTCCGAAATTATTTTTATTATTTATTTTTTAAAGGTCGCGGTAAGAAAATTTCTTTAGAAATTGATAACTTCTTTATCTGACGTCGGTTTTTGCAAGACTTTTTACCGCTGAAATACCATTGTTGAGACCTTCGATTCTCGTTTAGGTCATTCCGGTCAAAAGTCGCTCGATCTGTGATTCGAGTTTTTAGC